GAGTCACAAGCAAAGTCGAAAGCCGCTAAGAGACAAAGATAAAATAAAATGCCCCAGAAAGATTGTTATCTGATGTTTTAATGGAAGGGGCCTCCTTATCCAACAATAACACTTCTTTCTTTCTTGTTCCTCATCTTTCTCCACTTATGTCGTCACTCTTCTTCCTATAGGTATAAAAGCTATTTCTCCCGCCTTCCTAGCGTGCATTTGTGGTGTAGAGGCTCTGCACACTGAGCCGGTATTCTAGAGGTCCGTGGTTCGATTCCCGGCGAAGGCGTTTGCTAATTTTTCATCTTGCCTGCTTTAAAAAAAAATACCTAATGTCTCTACAGTGGCGCCCGAACTAAAAGGGTGTTGGATGATGTTTCTCCTCACCCAGGATTTGGCGATTGGGTCCCTTAAAAACTCCAGTCGTCCTTTAAAAGGAGGAGTATATAAGGTATTTCTCCCGCCTTCCTAGCGTGCCTTCGTGTTGTAGTGGTTGTGCACACTGAGCCGGTATTCCAGAGGTCCGTGGTTCGATTTCTGGCGTGTCCGTGGCGATTGCTCATTTTTCATCTTGCCTGCTTCCAAAAAATGTCTAATGTCTCTACTACAGGTACACTGAAATTAAATTAAATTTTCATTTTTTTAAAATCTGTTTAACATGGTGTTGACCATATTTTGTCTTAGATTTAATGATTTCTATTTGTTTTCTGTCCTGAATTTGTGAATTAGGTACTTTAGTAAATTTTCAATAGGCAATCGTCTGTTGTTCAGAATTCAAGTGGGCACCATTTTTACAAATTAGGATGTTCTGCGACCACACCTTACTCTTTTCACCATGGAAAGCAGTTTTTTAACTTGAAATAAAGCTAATTAAAATTCATTTAATTTCATCATAGTATTAAATTAATAGAAGAAAATTTGTGTTTGTTTTTAATAATTCGCTCTATTAGAATTCTTTATCGTATTAATTAAAATTTAAATAAACGTTGGCACTCATATTAATGCGATGGATGAGGCTGCCAATTCTTTCCCAGCTGTTATATGTCTGAATGTGTGCTGGTAAGCTGAAGTTTGAAATCGGTACATGTACCAAGTAGTCGATTTAGTTTTTTTACCCGAGTCAGAGATGAAAATCCTTTTCTACGCAGATACGAAAAGCAAACTGAATTATAATTTTCAGCAGTAGTGTGGCGCATGCAGTTAAGTTGAATTTTATTTTTTGTATCATTTGAAAATCTAGAATTACTAGGGCATTCCTCGAGGACGACTTGCAGTTAGTGGACCACAGACTGAGAAACGCTGCAGTAATCCATTTTAGATTATTTCCTTTGGGAATAATAATTCCGGTTTATGAACATTTCGGATGACAGACGGCATTAAGGAACGAATTAAATTCGTGAACCGAGATTTCATTCTATTCTTTAGATAAAATGTTAACACCTGCCATTTCCATTAATGACTGCCAAGTGAGCAACAAGAGTTTTAATTTAACATAATATGTGCGTTATATCTACATATAGCAGTGTATTCCAAATTTTCTTAACTTGCGACTCAGATGCATGTAGTTGCTCTGATAAAAGCAGTATAAATGAAAATTCCTTCAAGAAATCAATGTAACAACTAAGCAAAGATAATAAACACATATCGTTAAATAATAATACATGTCAGTTTATTAATAATTGTAAATTAAGTTTGTAACATTCTAGCTAAAATAAAGTTCCTTGTGAGCTAGAATATTGACGAATTATGTAGCGACTGTTCGCTGAATCGTGAGTTCGTGCAGAATTAACTCACGGAGTTGGCCCTTATTTAAAGATCACCGGCGTGTACTAGCAGACTTGCAGAAGTACGTCCGGTAGAATAGCAATCTTAAACTAATAGGAACAACGTGGTCGAAAGGCAGAACACGCTTTCCTATTGAAGTGACCCAGACTTCAGCTTAAATACTCGTTTCTACCTCATTTGCATTAATCGTAATCCTGAAAACTCATCCTGGCAGGGAAACATAGGTGGGAATTTAGAATGGGCTTGTTCCCAAAATAAAAATAACTGTTAGAAAAACAAAATAAAATTTTGCAAATTCTAATTATAAGTCTAGTAATACTGTAATACACCTTCAATCAGGATTAAATTGCATGTGTAATTATGAATAAATATGTAATACAAAAAAGCGTATTCCAAAACTTTTCGCTACCCACTAAACATTGTCTCTTGGTTTACACTTTATGACCATTGCTATATCTGGTTTAACCGTCCTTTAATAGCTTGCATTATGCAATTTCCTTTATTAATTCTTTTACTAAAGTTTTCATGCATAACTATGCAAAAAGGATTCTATAACGTTTAACGCGGACCACCAAAAACTGTCTCTTTAGTCCTTTTAGTAACTAGTGCTATATATGGTTAAACATCCTTTAACGATAACTTACATAGCTTTAAACTACTAAATTAGCATAACTCATTATCTGTTAACTCATTTAGTCCTATGAATGAACATATTAAGCAGAATTCATTCTTTTGACCTATGGGCTTACATGTGTTGGAATCAAATTTCATTGTAGTGGCTTATAAAATTTTTCGTTGCTGTGATCCATTAAGAAACGAAAGCTCAATAAGTACTTCTTTTAAAACAATTTAGATTAAACTCCAGAATTTCAAAATACCCTTGCCCCGTTTGGGTTGTTTCTGTTCTGCGTTATATCGTACCGAAAGGATTAATTAAAAGACCGACCAATTCACAGATATGACACGTATTAAAGAATGCCATTTGTAAAAATCTGTGTCAAATAACTCGCATCATAATTCTTGGAGAATCACAATACTTTATTAAAATAATAGATATCCTTGTGTTCTTTTAATTCAGTATTATATTAATTAAAAGAACAGAGGAGTGGGTAAAAGATGAAGGACTTCTTCACAAAGCTGTGAATTAAAAAATCTAAATATTCTTAGTTTTAATCTGCAGGGTTAAAACCTTTTCAAGTTAAAATTATTATTAGGCATTTTGACATAACAAAGAATCGAAAGCCGCTGTAAATTAAATTTATTTTAAGGCGTAGTTTTAATGAATGAATGAAGATGTGATGTCACTTCACACGTATATAATCCATATTAAAAGGCTTTGTTCTATGCGCCTTTAATTCATGGTATTCATTTTTACACCTCTACTTATCTTTCTTTCAGATCCTTCCGATGCTTAAATTCCTTTTTCTTCAACAACACTGAGTTGTTCTCAATTGCGATTCTCGAACAAGATTAATGAATGTCGAAAAATTCCTTAGCGGGTTATCGATGATTGTTTCGATTATATTTGAAGTAGTTAAATGCAATAAAATCAGCTTAGTACAAACACCAACTTTTCCAATTAATTCTGTTGTTCTATGGAGGTGATCGCTTTAAAGAAGATTATCGGTGGCTGCAATTCTATTATCTCTGTTCTTAGACATAGTGATGTTTAGAGACGACTATCTTAGAAAAGTTGTCGCCAAGAAGGTTTTTAGTGTATTTTAATACTTTGTACCATTTAAAATGTGTTCTTGATTTTAAAAAATTGGTTTTTCTACTAAGAGTATAGGTGCATCATGACAAATATTCCGATAATCTTGCGTGGGGAAACTGAAGGGGAATATTTCATTATGGGAAAGCTTAACAAGGCTTATCGATATTTACATAAGTTATGCAGGATTCTTTGATAAACAGGGTACTTTTAATATTTCTTAAGAAATAAATTCTTTCATCTACTTACATTTACGAATAAAAACTAAACATAAAAGAACTTAACATCATATTTGCCGGAATGTAAGCCGAGTTCCCTCACTCCCCCTTAAAATGACCTTCTGAAATTTCTGTCCGCCCATTTCATATGCTCAACCTAACGTTTAAAAATTATGTGTAGTACATTTACTTAGCTTTATTTCGAAACAAATACTTAAAGACGTAATCATCTCAAACAAGCTGTACTTATAAGAGATTTTCAGTATATCATGCTAAATATATTTGGGAGCCTATGTATGAAATCTTTCTTTTTCTCGTAAAACGCCCTGAAGAATTAACATCTTTTTGTATGAAAGGCCATCTTTAATGCTGTCCAGTAGGGTCAATAATTCATACCTTAGAACGAAATATCTTATTTTCTGAAAATGACAACCGTAATGTGACAACCTCAATGTAATAAAATATGCTAAACGCTGTTCAGGAAGCCCGAGCAAACAGATTGCCCGTATATGAAGAACAAGAATTTCGCTTGTCACTGCTGCTTGCGTACAGCTTTTGTATTTCCATCTTTATTCTTTAGTACATAGCCTATAGTTTTGCAGTCTTTGAATATAATTCTTAATAGTTAGGACAAGAAGGTTGCTTGTTGCAGTGGACAGATCTCTGTTGAAAATTAAAACTAATCAATCACAAAGCTGTAACCGCTTTTCAAAAATATTTTCGTAGCAGATGCAAGCTGTGCTTCAATTCATAGTCCATTGAAATTAAATGGAGTGAGTTGTAATATGGCAACAAAGAAATACCCTGCTTAAGCTAGTATGAACTAGCTTAAGCTGACAACAGACTGGTATCTCAACTCAGACAACTTCAAAAACTCGCTTAATTCATCGATGTAGAATAATAAAATGTAATTTATAAAATTGTAAGAGACTTTTCTCCATCCTTACCTTGTGCCTTCGTGATGCAACTGGAAGAACGTCTGGCTAAAAGTCGAGAGGTCCGTAGTTTGAGGCAGAGGGTAGAATGGATTTTTTTCTACTTCCTGCTCTAATAAATATCTAATCACTCTACAAAATGTTCTGTCAATAAAATCATTTCTTAGTTAATATAGAAATATTATTCAATAAAATGTAAGAGATCTCAGATGTTATTTTTCGCTTTCATAACACATTGTGCACGAGTGACTTTTTCAAAAATCTTTTAATTGTTCCGACGAAGTTTTTATTCAAAAATTGTTATGCGCATTTATATATCTCATCCTTATTAAATTGGAACCTTATCTGATTTTGTATTTTCAGCTTCCAGTTGAAGTGACAAAATACTGTGAAGAATCAGATGACAGTTGCAGTGTAACGGAAGATTTGGCATCAGGCGAAGCGGTCATCGAATTCTTGCAAACCGAAGAAAAGGCTTCCAGAGGCATTACCGAGGAGAAAACTGAAACCGCAGATTACCTTTTAACGTCAGCTTCCATTCATGAAAACGATCCAACACCAAGACTTTCTTCACAGAAACCTTCTGAATCTAGCCTATCATCGTTTAAAACGAAAGTCAAGAAATTTCACCCAAACTCAGAGCAGCATACTGATGTTTCATCCTCTTATGCAGAGCTTCAGTCCTCATCTTCATGGTCAGGTGAGGACGAGTTTGAACTTTTCGGACGGAGTTTAGCTTCACAAATGCGACAGTTGCCTCTAGTCTACGCTTTAGAGCTGGAAGCTGAAATACAGAATTTGATAGTCCAGAAAAGATTAAAGGTAAGTTCATAAATAAGGATAAAGATGCAAAAAACGTATGATTGACGGAAATTAAAAAATATTTATTTTAAGTACAGGGTGACAGTCGGAAATATAAGCATATGCAGTATGTTATTTAATATTGGAGAAGGGAATGGTGAATAATATATTAAACTTGAAATTTGAGTTTTTTATTTCAATTAAAAATCATATGTCGGAGCTTATATCATTAATCTAGATGGTGCTAGGGATTTAGCAGCAAAATTACAATTGCAGCAGTGTCGACTGCATATCAGAATGATCATGACGACATGACACTGGACAAAGTTGATTTTAATAGCCCTCAACTAACAGAAAAGTAGAAAGAGACTGCTTGTAACGAGAAATATCCAGAAAAGGAAATCTCCTGAAAGATTCACAGTGACACCAGTGTAGCAACATCGGTAAAGATGATGGAAACGGTACAAAACTCAAACATATTGTGGTGGTAAAAATAATCTGGTTGGAATTATTCTGTATTAATCTTCAGACTGAAAATTCAGATTTTCTCGATTTCTTTAACCATAATAGTGTCATAAAAATGACGCGATGGACAGCTTGTAGCCATATTTCCGACTCTCCCTGTGCATTCTAGTACTGTAATAGCTTCTTAATGAAGAGCAAAAAAGTGTTTTTAACTCTAACACGATTTAACGATGAGAGTATACGCCTTTCAGATTGCGTGTTATTATTTAAATTTTGTCTTTGGTTCAACATTCAGTGCGTAAAGACATGAAGAGTGAAAATATCGCTACGTTTAAGATAACTAAAGATTCTGCTAGCTGAAATCTTCCATAATATCTTTATTCTTATGCACTTATGCTTTGATTAGTCTTTTAAACATATGAAATTTCAGTTCTGCATTATGGAACTTTGTCCAGAAGATGTACTTACCAAATATCGTCTATGGTCATTCCTCATGCTAAGACTGCATCTTACAATTTGGTCACAAGCAACTATTTCTCTGTTACAATAACATTTACCCTACTGTTTAGTTAAAGTTTTCTGCATTATACTGCAGTTAAGTCAATCATCTAGCAATACAACAATTGCCTGTTTTATTGAGTCAGCATGACTCAGTCAAGTTATGTTTTTAGTTCTGAGCAGATATTTGGATATTCAGATGAGTTAAAGCAAGAATGTTAGAAATTATTTCCTATTTTAGATTTTTCGTGAATTATGAATTAATATTAGTCAAAATTGTAAAGATTTAAATGAATAATATCAAAACAGTGTATTTCCAATTTTTATCTTCATGGTGGAATATCACGAAAAATCAGTTTTGTCATTTTTTTTCAGATAACTTATATCACAAGCAATTGGCAAGATCGTCAAGAGATTACATTATTATCAATATTATTAACTAATGTATTGTAATGAAAATGTTTCAGAAAACAATGCGCAGACGCTGTACATGTGAAGTTTCTGAAGTAAGGGGGAAATTTTGGCTGAGAAAGATTATAGTAGCGTATTTTTTATCCACTAAGCTTTGAAAAGAAAATATTCAGACCAAGTTTTTATTATTGTAACCATTATATTAAGCTAAATACCACACATTAATATTTTTGCTCCAGTGTGGTATTTTTCATTATAGGCTAAAATCATTATAGGTCGTCATTATCATTTGATTATAGGTAATCTTATTAGTTCTAACACTTTATTTGGATTCGCTGAACATTTTTAGTGACAACGTTAGATCCTTCTCTTATGCCTTAGGGTTTATTGAAATTTTTATGTAGTTATCTTTTCCCCAGCAACATATGAAAGATCTAATGAAAGAGCCCTACAGAGGGTTGAGTACAATTACTTTTCGAGATATTTATGTATATAATATTTTCTTGAATAACATGTGTTTGCTTCGTATCATCGCACCTCATAACTATTTTTAAATTTCGGAATTTGTGTTGAACTTTTGAAACTACAATTGGAACTTGAAAACATTGTTGTTCAATCAAATTTCTTCTGAAGAAATTTCTGGAAGCTTTAAAATCTCTGTGTTGAGTTTATCTTTTATTATGAGATTACTGTAATATCCCTGATTAGGTTAGAAATTTTGTATTATTAAATAATGAAGAAAAGCATCTTACATAGATTACGATATAATAATAGAACTGGAACGTACTTCCAATCATTATAGAATAATAAATGTATAATATCTATAAATGTTCAATAAACAATTTTTCTAACATTACTTAGGACACGTGTTATCATTAAATAGCTGTTTGCTGATACTTTAGGAACCACGAGATTTGCATGAGATCTCACAAAAAGATTCCCATATCAAAAGCCAAAAAATTAAGTTCCTAGAAATATAGACTCTTAAATATATTGCGTAGCTTATCCCCATTAAAACAATAAAACAATATTGGTTTTAGTATAACTTTTGCTCTTCAAGATCCTATTGAATTCATTGTGTTTTGCGTAGAAATCTGCGTAGAAACTAAAGGATTTTTTATTATACTTTCTGTTGCTTTCATACTGCTGAGTTCGGGAGTTAAATGTCTTTTATTTTGAAAATATTAAAATAATGTAAACGGTTTTAGTTGACTGTCATAAAGCTACAGAAGTGCTGTTACTATAACAGCCATCTCAAACTTTATCAGCAGTTCGGAAGTTTCTTCATTTACTTCGTCTTAAGTATACTCCAAAATTTCTGCTTCATGATTATTTTGCCATGTTGTTTCCCTTTTCAATGTATAACTCTTGTTAATGTAATTAGAGCAAGCCTTCTCTAAACGAACCACCCATGGTTTCAGATCCTTCCGTAGAGGTAGTTCTCTTAGACAGATAGTATTCAGTGCTTACTTTTATTCATATTCTAAGAAGTACTGGTCGCTTATATAAGTGACCAGTACATATACAGTGGTCTTAAAGAAATAGTCGCTAAGAAAGAGATTAACACTATATTATCGAAGGTTTTTCGACAAAATATCGCAATAAGAATTCCAGCTTTTTATGGGCATAAAATATCATTCTTTTGGCGTAGCTTAGTTGATTGTTTTGTTTTTATTTCCAAAATTCAAATGTATATAATACGGGGATACTAATTTCTATCAACTAAAAATATGAGAGAAAAGTTTTAAATATTTAACAGTTTAACAAACATGTATCAAAGAAAATACCACGAGCTGATCATTTAAGCAAGAACTACGATGATCTACTGTCGTAAACAATCCCCATTTTTGTGATAGTCTTCCAAGGTCTTTATCCTTATTATAATCATGGTCATGCTTTTAGATTTGTTTTAATATCAAATCACAAGCGATAACTTATATTAGTTGTACTGTTGAAAAATATTCTGCATTTCAATCTCAAACAGATATTTTTTTTCTTCTTTCTATAGGTACTTCGTAAAACAACAGAGAAAGCAGCACGTGAAACTACTTCTGTTATTTCATCTAAAAGACCTGTCCTGTGTACCGTCGATATTTCAAAAGAACTGGTATGAGTTTCAAAGCAGATGATGATGAATCGCAATAAAAACGGAGATTTTTTTTTTACTGTAGAAAGGCGTCATTATAATATAATGAATATTCATTCGTTGCTGGAGAAATATATACCTTAGTCATTATAAATTCTATCGACTTCTGTTTTAAAAATTCAAATGGTTAATAAGCAAGTCACTTATAGTATTTTAACAGGTTTAATCTAGTAGTTGGAAATGTTATGGTATTATATTCCGCTTCTGCATTGCAATGTCTCGACTGTATTTGCGGTTTATCCCACCCTTAGTAACATAATTCTTAAATATTAAAGAAATAAACCGCTTATAAATTACGAAACGCGTTCATGCGAAATGGGAAAGTAGCACAAAAGTGAAACACAGTAACCCACATGCTCAAATAAAACTATCTTCCCACAGCAATCTGGACCGTGGCCCTAAATGCGGGTGTGTGACTCTTGATATTTTAAGTGCCTTATGTAATGCTACAGAAACTATTTGGATTTATCGAAGAAAAAAAAAATCTGATGTGGACACCATGTGACTTCCTGGTATGGCTGTACTTCATTTAAACTTATTTTCTCGAATTTTACTAGAAATACAGTTCTATAATTCAATGAATTCAGTCCTCACTTCGCGGCAAGGGAAAAATACTTAAAAGCTCAAAATATCCTCTTTAAACATTGTAAAATACAGGAAAACGTAAAACACCAAATACAGTTAAAAAAGTTTTTAAAAAATTTTGCAATAAAATTAGAGTTTCTATGAAAGAACAAGCAATTCGGGAAACGAGCAGAAAAACAAAATTTTCGGTGCGTAAAAATGTAAAGTTACTTTTTAGTCTCACAGAGCAAAAAGACTCTGAAGTTGGTAGGCATCGTTATAAAGACTATTAAGTTTTTCGAAGCAGAGATGAAAAATCATTGAGTGCTCTCCTTGATTAGAACAAAGATCTTCCGTTTGCTATGTTCTTTATACGTCTTAACTGCTTACACCATAAATATTTACGCCGAGGAATGCAATGATTTGTTTCAGTTTCACTCAAATGCTTTGTTGAAACAGAGTTTTTTTGTTGTTCTGTCATTTCATTCTTCAAAACCTGGTTTTATATTTTTCATCTGCTGTATCGGCTATCGAAATTTAGACTGAAATATCAGAAACCGTTTCTTCCACACACAGGAAAGAGAGAGAGAAAAAAGTTCTATATATATAATGCAGTTTACAGTACACTTCATTATTATTTAACTTAATGTTCCTAATATCTTGCTATACGTAATTTATCAATATCGCTTTTCATACATCCTATTGGGTATCGTCTACCATTGCGATGATCACGGTAAGTCACAGAAAGCATTATTCTCAGAAACGTAACAATATTGCAGTTTTAAATATTTAAAAATATTTTTTCAGTATTTGCTGTTAGGAAGTTGTAAAAGACTCAAAGTAATCAAATAAATTATTTTTATCAATGAAAGCTTCAAACTTCATTACTTTTTCAGGGTATTCTAAATAATTTTATTACTCATTTTTGTTTAATAAGAGACTCAAAACAAACTAGATAAATATATGAAACACACATATTCATAATGATCATCTGAATGATGACACATATTCATTATGAATATGACACATATTCATAATGAGCCTGAATCATCAACGCTAGAAACTTTTCTGTTGTATTATTAAAATATAAACGAAATATAAAATATGAATAAATATCGCATTTAAAGCAGCGCGGTTCCTTTTCACTGGCCTTGTAATCTCTTCGACGAAAATTACTTGCTCAACATAGATAAAAGATACTTAGGAAGTTGAAGATTGCCTAGAAGAAGAGCATGGAAAACGGAAATTCATAATCTATGTCAGCCCTTTCTCCATTTTCCCCCAATTCTCACTACTGAACTCTGACCGGAAAGAACGAGCGGGAACATAATCTGTGAAGACAGCTAATGTTATTATGTGAATGTCCTACGGCATTGTTTTCTCGTAAGCCGTTGATGTGACGGTTATGATGAGGATCTACGACTGCATGGGTTTAATTGCTTTTTCAACATTCAGGGAAAATACACATCCTTTATCAGTTACACCGCTCATGATTCTCATGAGTGGTCTGTCTTCCTCCATCTTTTTTTTATTATAGCTTGCTTAATTCCACTTAAGATACACCTTTCATAACCAGATAACATTAGCCGGAAGTACTGGAGACACTAATAATGTGCCTGATAATGCGATTTAAAGAAGGAGTGAATTGGGCATAAGGACTTTTCTGAGAAGATGAAACAATGGAGTGGCGTGTGGAGAAAAAGATGTGTTCGAAGGGACACGTGGAGGAATGTAAAACTTTAATTCTTCTTGAGAAGCTTGTGCGTTTGGGAGAACAACATTAAAGAACTTTTAAAATTCTAAAAATCTGATACTATCCATAAGACAGCTGTTAAATGGGAAAGGAAACCCACTTTTTAAAGTTGTATTTATTATTGTAGTTTCTGAATCCAGGTAATCAGCTTCCTGTATACTGATGTTTAAGTTCATCTGAGTCTGTTGCTGCTCATAGATCTTCTGTCACATTCTGTCACATTTTCCAATTCTGTCACACTTTCATTGAAAACATTCTGGTGAACCTAGTCTCTCTATTCTCATATTGTAAGTCTCTCGAAAGGACTTTAATTTTTCTCAATTCACTTTAGGAGGTGTTTAAATTTGCATAAGTAAAACATTATAAAAATGTGCCCAAAACTTGTGTTTTCCTTTTTCTGCAGTAAAGAACTTCTAATACTACAAAGTGTAAAGACTTTTTCAAAAAATCATATTAAAGAAAAATGCAATAAATTTTCCTGTTTGAGCTATCAGTACTGCATAAATAATTTTTTAAATCTAAAATTGGACTAACTGAAAAAATTTCACTAAATTTTTAGATTTTTTATTAAAAGTCATTATCCGAAATTTTGCGACTTAAATATTATTAAAAAAAATCAGTATTTATATTGCTGATTTTTTTAGAATATTTTCAGTGATATAACAAGAACTTGATTTATTGTGCTTATTGAATTATCAAATTTATAAACTAATTTTACTAAAGTTTGCTGAATTTTCTTTACAATAAAAATAATAAATCTTAAATTTTGTTTTATCCCGAAACTGCTGAGTAAATTTATAAGAATCTATTTATTTATTTATAAAAGGCTTACATTAAATGTGTGCATGCGATGATCCAAAACTTAAGATCTTAAATCATTAAATGTATTAAAAATCATTTCGCAGTACCAAATTTTTCGAAAGTTTACTTTAATTTAATGGCGAAATAAATTTCTTTTCATTTCATGTCATTATAATTATATATTAATTCAGGAAACTTTCAGAATTTTTTATTAATTCAGTAATAAAGAAAGTTTTTCGTGTTTTGCATGCACTGTAATTGATCTTTGGTTGCAACTTTTATCCCAAACTTCGAGATCACTTACCTTACTCTCTTGATTACACGCTACCTAAATAGCACTACTGCTCGGGCCATTGAACAAATTGCTTATAATTGCTCATGAGAGTCTAAAAATAGCAGCCCCGGATCATATGCTACCTGACTTTTAAGATCGATTTTTCTCTGGAACGAATAAAATAGCAGAAAGAAGTTTCTGGAGAACGGTGGACCTTTTTGATTTTAAGATACTATAAAATGTCACAATAGGGAAGAATAGTTCTGCTATAATTATGACAACACAAATGAAAAACTGCGGTATTCTCAAGAGGGATATGTAGGAAAAAAATATTCTCGTCCCCCCCAAATAAATATTTAATTTTGTTTATAATTTCTCTCTCATTGCAGTTCTGAAAGAGCAGTTCGATGCATATTGTAGACCTAGAGAATTTTTCAGATAAAAAGGAATATTGATTAGCAACCGAAGGAAAAATGATGTTATTAAAATAAATAGTAAATATATTCTATCTCTATTTTATGGATGCCTAAATATCGGAAATAATTTTGTTTTTAAATAGCGTAAAATGAGTCATCCGCATACTTGCTTAGACTAGATGTGCAACATCTTTTTCACATGCTTATTATAAAATTTCTGGTCTTTGAATACACAGGTAAAATGTAATGCTAAGATTTTGGTTAAATTTATTGGGAAAATGAATATATGGAACTCTTTTCAGTACTGTCAAAAATTTTTTTGAAAATATTATTCAAATATCGAAACCAAAATTAAATATTACTTTACGATGAAGAAATTAAAGTTCAAAAGTTCGGTTGTTAGTTTCTATTTTCGTCTTTTAAATATGAAACAATATAATTAAATAGTAAAGATATGATTTGGGGGCGATTCATTTTTTTATGCTTATAGTGAACGAACTGTTATTAATTTCCCGATAATCTATCTATGTATCTTTGTTCAAAAAACATTCTTAGACTGGTAATCGGAGAAAAAGAAAAACATATGATATTTCGGGAAAAACTCCTCATCTTTTGTGATGCAGCGAATCTCATTACAAAAACTTAGAACTGAGGTAAGAATTTAAATTTGACTCGTGGAAATAAAACTGTTTTTGGTAGCTTAAAGGACAATAGTTCTGTCTATAACAGCATTGAGCCTCACAGAAATTATTTCTGTAGTGCCAAGGTTTGAAAATATAAGTGAAGAAAAAACAGAAGTATGGATGTAGAAAGTCAAAAATAAGCTAGCCTTCAGAATTTCATCAGATTAAGGCATTCTTTTAAGCAGCGAACTCAAGAAAAGAGCAAACAGCATCGCAGAGATCAAGAGGAAACAATAAGAAAGGGCCTAACAGAGCGCTGGGATAGAGGGAAGTTGGTAAACTATATGGGGGGAGTTCTTCTTGTTTGAATTTAATAACATCACAGTTTTGCACAGCATATGCCATCCTGCTTTTCAGAATGGCGTCATGACTCCAAAGAAAAATGAGCAAATCACACTTTTCACACTGTAAAATTTGAAAATCTGTAATATTATTACATATTTTATTATTGTTTTAATTAAATGCTATTTTAAACAGTACCTGTCATTCAAGTCGTTTAAAACCACTGATCAGTTCTTTTGTTGAACTAGAGA